GTCGTACAGTTTAGAGTCTCGATATAGATGTATAGTATAGTACGTAACTTAAATTAAGTTTAGTTACGTGTATATATATACGTTGAATATTATTTATGATGTTACGGGTAAAATGTTACTTGGCAATTTCTATGAAAAGAATGATACTATCTTTTCGTTTTTTGTTGTTGTTGGTTTTTTTTGGGGGGGGGGCTGGTACTGTATGAAGAAATCAATGAATGTATTTTTAACTGCTTCAATGATAGGATTTATTTCTGCATTTATAAGTACTGTTTCTGGGGTATTTGTTTCTTGACTTGCTTGGAGTGAATTTGTGTTTGGTTGTTGTACTGTACATCTCTTGGATTGTGACATCCTTTGTAACTGGCAAGGTGTTGCTGTTGGCAGTTACAGCACAAAAGTTTCTCGTGTTGTATTAGGCAGTTTGAATCATGTTGATCACCCTCACAGCCCACACATCGTGTAAAAGATCTACACGCTGCTACGACGTGTCCGTTGCGTTGGCAATCGTAACACTGGATAACAACCACGGCGAGTGTTTTGGCTTCTTCAACTCGAAATCTCTGATACCAGAGAATACTACCGTTAGATATTAGACTCTGGATATCTTGTGATGAATGTGTGTAAACTTTAACCATGTTTGTTAGAAATGAAACGTTCTGTTTTTATGTATAGAATGTTCTTTTGTGTGGAAGGTATTTTTCCACTCCTGGAAGTCAAGTCAAAGCCAGCCAAAGTTGTTGAACCAAGGTTTTCAAAAACCCTTAAACATGAGTGTCCTGTATTTATTTATTTATTTTCTATGTCTTTATGTTGGGTTAGATTAAGTTCGGGTGTCCTAAAATTAGTCTCCAGGAATGCATCTTCCCTTTGTAACACTAAGTCAATAGGAAAATAGAGCCCGATTTACGTCGATCCCTCTAACGTTGTATTTTCTAGGAACACATCCCCGACGTAAACGGGTAGTTACTGTATTTGGTTTGTACAAAGACATCCATAACATGTTATATAAAAGTTACTGTTTTATTATATGGGGTTGAGTTTTATCACAGCCAGTCTATAATGTCCAAGTGCTGAACCTATTGGAACACTGGTTTTCAAGTCGTCCAAGAGTACAAATCATCGCCGTTTTGGATAGCTCAGTTGGACAGATTTCTATGTTTGTTTGAAGTTAAGCACAAAGCTACACAATGGGCTATCTGTGCTCTGCCCACCACGGGTATCGAAACCCAGTTTCTAACGTTGTAAGTTCGTACACATGCTGCTGTGCCACTGGGGGCAGTTGGATAGAGCATTGGTCCTGTTAGCTCAAGGTACTTGGTCCCAGTCTCGGAGTTTCTTTTCACTTATCGGTATTTTCACTTACAATAATGTTGTTTAGAAAGATTACTTTAAATGATGAATTAGATATAGTTTCAAATCATTTGGCATAATTTTAGTGTTTTATTAGTTATTGGTGGAACGGAAACGCTGATGTTGTCAATTTTTGTTCACCTGAATGACACCTCATACACACAGTTGGTTAAAAGGCCAGGTCAGTAACCTCTTTTATTTCGGGTATAGTCTCCTCAGAGGGAATGCAATGGCGGGACTGATTGTCACTCTTACAACGAACCCACAACTGAATGTGAAAAGAATGTTTGTTATAGCACCATATCTCAAACTCGAGACCTTCGGATCCCTTGCTCGATACACTAGCCGCTTGACCACTCTTCGGCCCGAAAAAAAAAGAAGAAGATAAGCATTGGTTGCATGATCATTTTGCCTTTTGTGTGATTGTTTATGTTGAATATTCTAAGAAACCATCACATTTTAAAAATTCTCGGTGTGTCTTTCTCCAGTTTGGTTATAAACTTTATATAAATATCAACTCTCGATCAGAGAAAGTTTCCTTCTTAGATCAAGCATAAAAATAAACCTGGTAATAAAGCTGTCGCCATCGACCTCCTGATCGTTATGGCCGCCAAACCAGTAGCTAGGACGGTCATTTGGTTGAAGGCTCAATGGTTGAGAAGAAGTTATTTTTCGGAGCTATCAAGAGATAAATAACAACTTTCCATCAAAGATGAAAATCAAACCGTTAATTAGTTAAGCTAACGAAATATACTTTTCTTACGCTCTTACTTATAGATATTAAAATGCGTTGTTTCTTCTGTTGGGAGCTCTGGCTGTTATCGATGTTTTCGGCCATAATTCCCATAGCATCTCATGTGGTGCAGCCAGCTTAGTAGATTTAGGTCAATCCTAAACCCATATATACTGAAATAATAATCCAACTAATCTCCTTAAGAGTGTGGTCGGCTAGCGGCATGGCTCCCCTACTTCAATGCATAGCTTTTATATAACTTCAGAAGCACCGAAAAATATGTTGTTTCCCTCAAAAATTATTGGGAGGCATTTATTTTAACATATGTTGTTGACGTCACGTGTGGTTTATCAAATAATGTGATTTTCCACCGTTCTCTGTTTATGCGTGGCTTTAAGAATTAAGCGTGGTAACTGTGGTTGTCAAGATGTACAGACAATGATTATGATAGGTAGTGATTTCTCCACGTTGATATGGGCTCGGGTGAAGCTGTCACAACGACACGGGCTACACGTTGCGTTAGAGATAACAGATTAAGTGTCACTTAAACAAAATACAATGTCCTTAGATTTCACTACAGAATTAACTTGGAGTGAGCTGAAATAAATAGTTACTTGAAAGTTTCATATAAACTATACACGTTTTGTGATTATGAAAATACACACTACTTCTCGCAGTAGGCCGGGCGTGACATAGTTGTTTAGCGTGCTCATATTATAAAAATACGACCCGCACTTTGCGGCCGTGATTCATTATAAAAGTAACGGTCAAATATCATTATTCGGTCAAGCGAGTAGTCTAAAATTTTGCGGAAGATGCTGTCGATTAGCTGCGAAAATCCAGAGTCCAGGGATACCACCACACTGTTCCGTTTCCACGGATAACTTTGAAGGACATAACTTCAGTAGACGGAAATGTGTTGGACTGTCCCTGGAGTGTAATGTTAACCATGTTACAAACAGATTTAGCAATAGAATCACACAAATATCAATCAATTCTGGCTATTTTTTTAACGCACTACATTAGGAGAAACATTGGAAGAAATTAAAATATCCATACATATTTTAACCAGATTCAATGTAATAAAATAATACTTCGATAAATTTCGTTCTTAAACGTTACAAATAATTATTGACTTAATTTAAATTGTTGTCACGTCAAAACGTTTTTGTCCTAGTACAGACGATGAATATAAAAGTTAATATATTAATATATTTACGTGCTTGTTATTATAATAAGTCCTCCAGCAACAATAGAATGTTTACTGCGAGTGACTAAAAATTTCAGTCTGTTTTCACTTATGGCTATGCTACTTATAATAAAGTTGAAGGGAACTGTTACATCAAATTTGGCAAACGCCCTTCATCACCAGGTGGCACCACTTATAGGTACTAAGAAATGAAAAGTTTAACTAGTTAACTTATTAACTCTATTGTGGTAATGGCAATCAGCTTAGCGCACGACACCAACTACCCGCATGCGCACATCGAATAACACATGGAAGTATTTTCGTGGTGTTGCTTAGTTCTAAGAGTGTTAAACGAAAACCCTGACCAAGTTTCTGTCATCGTTTTGGCAAAGCTTTCGTCTGAGGCTTCTTTCGAAAGGTGTGACGAACACCTTCATTGGACTAATGATCGCAATGTTAACGCTACTTGTTGGGTTTAAAGTTAAAATTTTCTCGCGTATTTTAGCTTGCTCGTGAGTTTTCCTCGTCGACCGTGATCGAGAGCGTACGACCGCGTGCCCTAGTGTAGAGTGCTGTGTGTCAGTGTCGAGGTCTGGTCTACCTGATGAAGTGTAAAGTCTAATGGTAACACAATTTTAAAACGTGATAGATATAACGAGGTGTAGTTAAGTATCGTAAACACTGAAATTCTGTGAAAAGACATTGTGAAAAACTAAAGAATACTACATATACTTTTTGTGATTCACTTGAAATTAGTTTCCTGGTAAGTTGAGACCAATTTTCTTAATAATAATATATACGTATGTTGACAACAATATTATCAATACATAGGTAAGTCGACAGCGATATTATTAATACATAGGTAAGTCGACAACGATATTATTAATACATAGGTAAGTCGACAACAATGTTTTTAATGCATAGGTAAGTCGACAACAATGTTATTAATAGTAATTATACATAGTCGGTAAGAGTTACAACAGTGATAATTAGATCAAACTAAATCTAAAAGAAAGTATTTTGAAGTTTTCTAGGGCCTACAGTCGTAAATTAATATACTATTAGTACTAAAAGTAGTTAGAGTAGATTCTCGAACAGTTAGAGTAAATATTAAAGTTAGTCAACATTTGTTAGGGTGCAAACAACATATTTATAACCTTCCACTTGCAGGTAAAATGTAAACCGTAAACGTTCTGTATTTTCTGGTAATTTTATACTTATAGTGTAGTGGGCAGTATCAAAGTAATATGTAACACTAACAGCTTAAATTACAGTGATTACTATCGGTGTAAAATGTTGTGAACTTAACATTTCATGATAAATGTAATTATTAACATACTGGAAACACATTCATTCAACTCTTTACTACTGCCACTGTATTAATGTTATTGTAATAACTGGTAACAGGTAACTACAAATTGATATCTAAATATCAAAACTGTGAACCTGAACAGTAGTTTGATTAGTACATGGCTTTTGATTTCATCGAAACGTAGCCAATTTGGAGAAAATAACTAAATGTAACAGACATGTTCATTATTAGCCAAGTAAAAATATGACTATGTTACAAAAGAAAGAAAAAAAATAAGTAAAAACATAAAGATAATTGATTGCTGTTTAAAAATGTTTAAAAAAGTCTAGAACAGAATTACTATATTTATTCATTCGAACGTAGATATACAAAAACACTAAATGTTATTCTTAAAGGAAACGATACTGTATAATAAAGTAAACTGATATGTTGGCCTACTCTAGTTTGACCTTCGTTTGATATATGTGGTTCGTTGCTCCTTGTTGATTATATATGAAGTTGTTTTGAAACAAAGTGTACTGGTCAAGGTGAGATTCATTAAGAGCTTATGAGCTGTGATAAGGTTTCTTATAATGCAAATGACATATTTTGGATTGTTCTTTATTACATATATTTAGGTTTCAGTTATGCAGGTTGTTATATCTGAATTTGTACATATAAACAGCAGGACTTTGTTACAGTTCCGTGGTTTGTCGTGGCAGTTTTTGCTTGTTTACAGCAAACACGTGGAAAGCCTAAATCCACGAAAGAAGTAAGTAGGTGACCTACATTTACCTTGAAGAAACTGTTTAATCTAAGAGACACAACAGTTTGCCATCAGCGGCCCTGAAGGCCGATAACCTCATTATGATGTTGTTGCGCCATGACAGAACAACTAAACAAATGTGTGTCATATTTTACTTGCATTGATGGACACAATAAGATTGTTTTGGTGCATGAAAGGCATCAGAGAACATCCTTATTTAGTTGGCTGTTACGTTACATCTATGAATTGAAGAAATATTGACGAACACAAGCAGATGTGAATAAAATGCTTCGTGCTTTAATTCCGTATCAAGACAGTCAATCCGGGGTTCAGTTCTCTTCGGTGGGCGGAGAGCAAAAAGCCCATTGCGTGGCTTTGCGGTAAAACAAAACAAAAACAACTGACCGAAGTTCTGTCGACAATGATGTGCGTGTTACGTATTTCATGTGGCAATAAAATATATTTATGTATATATTAGGAATCACGGTTAGGTTTCTCGGTGATAAATGATGGAAAACAATAACGTTTTATGTATTATGTTATATACACCGGTGCCATGTCTATAGACCTAAGGCCCACTGGTCCTAAAACAACAGGTTTCTTCATGGGGGTGAGGGGTTTACTTTTGTTGTGTAATGAATAACAAGTTGAGAAAAGCAAGTAGCAAGAATCAGTAACAAGTCAAGAAAACTGTGTAGCAAGTCCAGAAAAGCGAGTAACAAGTTCGTATTCTTTATATTGCTACATATCCTGTCGTCAACAGAACAAGCAAAAGACATTTATCACCCATCTCTAGGGTATTTCATCATTTATATAATACCATTCAGTACATCTCTTGTGATTTATCTCTGTTTGATAATGTTTTAAAGTAAATATATCTATTATTCCACTACGTAAAGCCATTATTTTGGTCTTCATCCCAATATAGACTGTGACTATATCAGTGGTTACTTCTAAACTTCTGGATAAATCTTCTTTGAATTTGTTCACTTGATACACTACAAAGAATAAGATGACATGGCATTCTTATGATACAGTTACTTGCTCCCACCCCACCTCTCCGGTCTCTTTACTCCTTTTGCTTTCACACACACAAAAATCCACTTTTATTTACACAATCAAATGACTTCACCATATATATTAGTATGACGAATCCTAATTAGGACCAATGTTGTTTAGGGCTAGAGAACTGTCCCCCACAGACTACTAAGAATTACGATCCACTGTTACTAAAGGTAAGGGATGTTTTAACTTTCGTATATTTGCACTTGGCGCCATTTATTATAAACAACGCTTTTAAACTAATAAAGTACAAAATTCCATTACATAACGTTTTTTGGGGCAAATATAATCGGAATGAAATAAATCCCAACAATCAAAACCAGCACAATTTTAACCTAAATTTAGGGTACTCTTTTGGAGCACACAGCTTATTAAATTATTATTATTTGCTGAACAAAAACGTGTAAAGATATAAATTATTTAGCAAGAAATTAAGTTTTAGTGAATCATTAAAACGGTGATGATGATAGTATCTGTGTGAACCGCACGCTATAGTGTAAATATCTTTGTAGACCGCACGATATAGTAGCACAAAATAAAGCCTGGTAGTTGGGGGCGCTTGACTCAAAATCTGCAGGTCGCGAGTTTGAATCACATCACCGAACGTGCTCGCCCTCTCAGCTGTGGGTACGTTATAATGTTACGGTCAATCCCACTTTATTTAGTAAAAGAGTAGGCTAAAAGTTAGCGGTGGGTGGTGTTGAGTAGCTGCCTTCCCTCTTGTCTATCATCTCTAATTTAGAGACTGCTAGCGCAGATAGCCGTCGAGTAGCTTTGCGCGAAATTAAAAACGAACTAAAGATTAGGGTAAACAGTTACTTTAAGATTTGTTTTTTTTATATAACTAGCAAAAGTATTTTAATGAGTTCTGATGTATGAATGCGTTAATTTTGCCGTAGAATTTCATTATGGCACACAAATAAAATCATAAATTACTAGTACCCGTTAAAAAAAAAACAACAAAATCATAAATTGCTAGTACCCGTAAAAAAACAACAAAAAAGTCATAAATTATTGCTACCCGTAAAAAACAAGAAAACATTACTAGTACCCGTAAAAAATAATAAATTACTAGTACCCGTAAAAAAACAACAAAAAATCATAAATTACTAGTACCCGTAAAAAAACAACAACATAAATTGCTAGTACCCGTAAAAAAAATCATAAATTACTAGTACCCGTAAAAAAACAATAAAACATTACTAGTACCCGTAAAAAAAAACATAAATTGCTAGTAGCCGTAAAAAAGATCATAGATTACTAGTACCCGTAAAAAACAATAAAACATTACTAGTACCCGTAAAAAAAACATAAATTGCTAGTACCCGTAAAAAAAATCATAAATTACTAGTACCCGTAAAAAAAAACGTTGCTGCATTTAATGTGATGGAAAATTGCAAAGAAATTTAAATTGCACATTTGTCTAACCCATTTGTTACTGCTGTAATTTTGATTGTGAAATAAATTTTTAGGAAGAGGTTCCAAGTTTATAACCATGACCAGGTGGTTAGCGCGCTCGACTCGTAATCTGAGGGTCGCGGATTCGAATCCCCGTTGCACCAAACATGCTCCCCCTTTCAGCCGTGGGGGCGTTATAATGTTACAGTCAATCCCACTTTTCGTTGGTAAAAGAGTAGCCCAAGAGTTGGCGGTGGGTGGTGATGATCAGCTGCCTTCCCTCTAGTCTTGCACTGCTAAATTAGGGACGGCTAGCGCAGATAGCCCTCGTGTAGCTTTGCGCGAAATAAAAAACAAATAAACAAAAACAAACCAAGTTTACAAAATAATTAATACTCATAACGTGTAATTTGTATGTTTTATAATATTTTATATAATGTAAGCATATAATTTTAAATATTTGCTTCATACCGTTAGTTAACTTTAAATTAAATTAATTTTATCATTCAGGATGTGACGACATGTGTGTTTATCTTAATATTATGTTAAATACCCTTATCAGTAGAATGCTATCTTGTGACCTTGTACGCATGTACCCTTATTTCTGCATTAATAATCCTCAGTTCCGGGCCCTTTTATCTGTCTAGAGTGAGCAGGTTGTTGTCATGAGTGGCTATGTGCTATATTTTTGAATCTGGAGTATAAGAAGTTAGTTTGGCCTAGTTTTGGATAAGTATGAGATTACCGTAAAGCAAACAGAAATAACAAATTTATAATAGAAAAAAATGAATACATTATGGGATTCTGTTCTTCTTCTTATTTTTCTAAATTAAACAAAAACAAAAAACAATATAGATTAGTTACACCAGATTTGCATCAGAACAGGCTTGAAAGAGTTTCTCGTAGGGTGGCGTAATTTTTAAGTTATTATAAGCTATACTTTTAAAAAATGGAATAGATGGATGTTTTGATTTCTAAGCTGTAGGAATAATAAATAACAGCTTTAAGTGAACATGAAAGGGGATGGAATTTATTTTCAGGTAAAGAATTTTATTCAAAGATAGCTTTCCTCCATAGAGCAGCATGTTTTTAAGTCTCTATTGGCCTGAATACCCCGTATGGTCTTTTGTAAAAAAAAAAAGTTATCCACAAAATCTAATATTATCAGTTCCTTTCGTTGTCACGTGATAGCATGGCCAAATGGTTAAGGCACTCGACTCGCAATCTGAGGGTCGCGGGTTCGAAT